AGATAGATATATACTTTATTCATCCACAGGGGGAAATTTGTTTGTAGCAGCAGTAAACGAAGTTACAGAGTAAACATGAAAATATGAAGTATGAAAGATGCTCAATATATACAATACAATAAAATAAGAGCAGAGTATAATAAATTTAAAGAAAATAAAAAAGCACAGTATATACAACTCGAAAATTCCGCAGGGGTCCAAGGACAAAGGATGTCTTATGCTGTACAGATAGTAAAGTCCTGTTTGGCAAATTTGTGATTTGTGATATGGGCTATACAAATAACATTTTAAACCGAAATTGCATAATGCATTATAACTGATTGTTATACATTATTTAAAAAATTGCAAAAAGATGTCAGTGAGTGACCAGCAAGTATTATACTTGAATTAAGCGTCATAAAATGCTTTATAATGTAGTAATGGTTTGTATTAATGCATTATGCATATTTATGAGTGCCTAACTATAATTATACAGTGTTATAAGCAATTTACAATACATTACAATTATGTTTATAATGCATTATAGACATGGATGTCATAGAAAGTATTACCTAAAGTTCTTTACTGAGCCTCATCTAGCCAAAGCTGAGTGGATGAGCTCATCATCATGATGTATGTGTACGACCATTATCCAAATCATACAGTAGACAGACAAAGCCTCCTCTCCACCTTCATCTTGTCGAAACTTTGCCCCTAAGACCCAAGGTTTCCTCTTACAAGCCTTTCCCAGGGCTCTCTGACAATGACTTTACTCCAACTCTCCGTGTCTCCTCTTTGATGAAACTGAAAATAAATCCACTCCAAAAGTGTCCAGCTCATGTCATTATTGTTACATAGAGGTAGGGAGTGTTTTTTCTTCTTTTTGCTCTCAAAATGATCTCCAATTACCCCAAAAAGCTGTGTTTGTCACATCACATCATAGAGGCGGAGGTATAGCTGAGGAGCAGCTGAGGAAAAAAAGAACCTGGGGGGCCTTCAAAGACGTCATTTGATCTGACAGAGCATTTGCACATTTCAGAAACCGGAAATTTGAGATCAAGCTTTTATGCTTGGTTGCAGTCCAAAGTGAGTGTGACACACAAATAATCGGAGAGGGAAGAATAGGGTGAAAACTGGCGGACGGGGATGATTGATAATCAGCATGACAGTAGCCATGCTTGCCGTTTGTGCCTCTGAACATAGTGACAAGGGTCAGTGTGCTCCCGTGGGAGCAGAGCTGTGGGAAATGGAAGGACAATGCAGTCAGGAAGGCTGTGCTCTATAGAAATCGAATGCATCGCCGAAGGATGTTAATGTGTGAGAATTAAAGGGCTGAGAAGTCTTTTTATCCTGGAAACCCTTTTGGCATCACTTTGAAGATATGTCGTCAAGCTGGCATACAGTTAATATCTAGATTGATTAAATTTAGTCAATGCACTAAAGTTAAAGTAGCAAAGGTTGAGTAAAACTTTCTTGAATGAATATTTTAAAACTAATCTCTAATCAGGGGCCATATACTCCATCCAAATCCCAGTAAGGATAAACAATATAAAAAAATTAAATTAATGAGACTTGAATGGAAGATAAAATAATATTTTTATTCCTATGAATATAGCTATATAGACAAAGCTTTGTCTACTAATTAGCATCAAGGTTGATACTGCTAATAAAGTACAGTAAACCTTAAACTAAAATTCAACATCAGAGATGGAACACGCTGCCATCTAGTGTTGTCACTGGGGTAATGTTAGAAGATTCAGGATATATGTTCACTATATATTGTACAACAAACATGGTAGCAAACTGTTGCCTATTTTCACATCCAGCAGACACGGAGCAAGTCATGCTTGTGTCCACCTGAAGAACTTAAGTCTAATATCTATCCATCTATCCATCTATCTCTCTCTCTCTCTCTCTCTGTGTGTGTATACAATTACAGATGAAATATAATACCACAAAGGTTCTGTCCAACAATGTAATTATGTTGTGTGTTAAGAAAATTGCAACTTCAAGGGTTATTAATTACAAGAATGCAATAAAAAAAGGCAGTTTTTAAACTTGCTGTCTGTGATTTGGATATCTGTATGCCTGTCAATATAGCTGTAGAAATAACTTCACCCAGTCCCTCTGATGGAGGCAAACTTTATTCATGTTAAAATACAAGGCAGATGATGGGTCCAGCATGCAGTCACCACTACAGGAGTATTGTTATTTTCTTCGATTCTGCTATTTTACTAGATAGATGTGGATACGTTAACAACACAACAACAAAACACATACATCTAATAGAAAGATTGAATGCGCATCACTTTATCAATTTCATCCTTTTCAAGACCGCACAAAGCAATACTGCCTCCATGACACAACTGAATTTTACAGCTAGGGTCAAGAAACAGCATGAAATCATCTTTTTCATAAACACTATCATTTTCAGTTTGAGTTCATGACTGCATTTGTACAAAGGTGTACTTGATCTTCGGTACATAACGGAAACATGTTTTCTGTGATGTGACTGAAGCAGCCTCTTATCAATATGCAGTTTTGTATTCTGACGACAGTGAAGCAAAGTCTCTTCATTCTTCATGATAGATGCAGTGTAGGAATAACCCGCATGTCTAAATAATATGTGCACTAGCTATAGCATCTTCCGGAATTGCCCAGTGCGATAGCTGCTGGGCGGGTGAGGGGATACTTACGAGCACCCGGCTGAGCGCAGCCGTGTTGCAGTTTACCCAGGGAACGAGAGGGTCGCCTCTGTGTTTTGGTTTGTACTTATCTCTGGAGTCTCTGGTATCACCCTGTAAAGGGCGCAGACTGGGGACTCTATAGTTATACTCTGGGACCTTAATGCTCACATGGGCCGCAATGGAGAAACCTCGAAGGGGTTAATTGGGAGGAACGGCCTGCCTGATCTGAACCCAAGTGGTGATTTGTTGTTGGACTTCTGTGCTAGTCATGGATTGGCTATAACAAACAAAAAAGAGGATTGACTTGTGGTAGTATCATTAGATCTGCGGCCGTATGTCTTGGTTGAAGAGAGCAATAGAGCTGTCAACTGCTCACCAATTGGTGGTGAGTTGGATCAGATGGCCGGGGAGGCTGCGGTACAGACCTGGTAAACCTCATCGTGAAGTGAAGGTGATCTGGGAACAATTGGCTGAGGACCATGTTGGCAAGGTCTTCAACTCCAAGCTCCAGAGGAATTTTTCGTCGATCCCGAGGGAGGCTTGGTACATGGAATCCAAGTGGGCCATGTTCAAAATCTCCATTGTGGAAGCAACTACTATGAGTTGTGAGTTGTCAGTTGTCGAAAGTTCATCGGTGCCTGTCATGGCAGTAAACTAAGAACCCACTGGTGGAGGCCGTCAAGCTGAAGGAGGAGGCCTTTCGGGCTTTGCTGGCCCATGGGTTTTCAGAAAGTGCAAAAGGGACCGGTTGGCTAAAAGGGTTGCAGCTGCTGTACTTAGTAAAAATACGGGGTGTGGGAGGAGCTCATTGAGACTATGGAGAAGGACTTTCAGTGTCCGGTTTGGGGACCTCACAGTTACATCTCTGCTCTTTGCAGATGATGTGGATCTTCTTGGCTCCATCAAACTATGACCTTCAGCATGCACTGGGGCACGCACAGCTGAGTGTGAAGCTGTCAGGACAAGAGAGTACCTCCAAGTTTGAGGCCAGAAAATGGTGGATTGTGCACTCCGAGCTGAGAGTGAGTCACTACCCCAAGCGAGGAAGTTCAAGTATCTGAGGGTCTTGTTCACTAGTGAGGGAAAAATGGAATGCAAGATGGAGAGGCGTTTCGGTGCAGCCTCAGCAGTAATGCTGGCTTTGTACCAGACCATTGTGATAAAGAGGGAGCTTTGGAAGGCAAGCCTGGCTTTGGGTAGTGACCAAAAAAGTGCGACCATGGACATCTCCTTTTGGAGGTTTAGAAGCTCTTGCAAGTTGTAAACACTAAAACATGAATGAACTTAATGGCCTGGTGCAGCTGTCCCACCTGGCTGGACTGTAGGCCACCCAGGTTTGTGTGCAGTACGTTATTCATATCAATTGTTACCATGTATTTGTTAACGTTGCAAAATCGTTAATTATCATAATTTTTGATAATTATATCAAGGCAATTCTATAAGAATTTGGTAACTTCCATGAACTATAACTAACTTGAAACTCTAGTTTATGGACATGGATGATTCTGCACCTCACAAATTACATCTAGTGCCAACATTCAGTGCCAATCCAGGACGTAGCGTGTCCTTTATTAAGTAAGGCGTAAAGTAAAGGGGGTGAAGGTCAAGGTGATGGATAGGCGTGCAGCGAATAACATAACTGCAATTAACATTTCCCTTTTTATTAACAGACACCACAATCTTTCTCCAACTAGTCATTGTTTTTGTTGCCTAACCTTATATATATATATACATATATATATATACATATACATATACATATATACATATACATATATACATATACATATACATATACATACATATACATATACATATATACATATACATATATACATACATATACATATACATATATACATATACATATATACATACATATACATATACATATATACATACACATACATATACATATATACATACACATATATACATACACATACTGTATATACATACACATATATATATATATACATATATACATATATACATATACATATACATATACATATACATATATATATATATACATATATACATATACATACACACATATACATATATACATATACATACACATATATACATATGCTTTTGTCGCTGAATATCTTAAACTTCACGGCTTGGTATGAAATATATACAAATAGGATGTACCCTGCTGACATGGTTCCTGTTAAGCCACACGTCTCCATGTGTAACGTTTGTGAAAATTCACAAAAAGAGATGACTTATCCTCGTTCAGGACCCATGGCTGGTTATCCCACCTCAGTCTTGAGTGCAAGAAGGTCCCTCAGCAGAGGTGGAGGAACAGGCCAGGAGCTCTGCAGGGCAGCCTCCTGCAGCAGCCACCTGTTTCTCTGCCCGCAGACACAGCTCCTGAAGGAAGTTGGCTGTCTCCATTACCAGGTCGCTTTCATCATCTAACCAGGAGTATACACAGAGTAATTATGTCGCTGGTGTGTATTTAACACAAGAAGACAGACACAGTAGCCTGACAGTAGTCCTGGCTTAAGACTTCATTGTCCTGTTGCTGAACTGCATTACATGTTATTGTTATCAATGAAATCAGATCATATATGACAACGGGGTGAATCTGACGTGGATAAAAACCTTCATTCCGACTCCAACAAGCCAATTGCCAGCATTAGGGAATCGAAAAAGACCAAACACATGGAAGAGGAAGAGTAGGATGATGGGAAGATTTTATACTTTCAAAACTAAAGAAGCAGTTGGTTTAAAAGGAAAGAATCTGGACAGGTAAAATACTTAATATTCCTTAATTTTATTTATTTTATCAATATTTTAAAAAAATGTGTCCGAACATAAATTAGTTTTTACATAATTATAAAAATAGAGAGAGGATAAAGCGTTAATCTGCTTGTTTTCAAAACCTTGTTTTGTTCTCCTGGTAGATACATTGCCAGGCTGGTCAGGTTAGGTTAGGGGCCGCCCATGTCAGAAGACACCGTGTGGACACAGTGTGGATTTGGTTACCCCCTGATGGCTTACTGTATATGAAAGACAGTTGAGGTGTCGTCCCGTCTGGCAGGGAAGCATGTGCTTGTGCTTTGGAAGGAAGCGCTTGAGTGCTAGGTACACAGCCTGTAGCAAGTTCGATTGTACCCTTGGCCAGGAGGGACGATAACTCCTCGTTCATGGCTAGGGCTTTTGACATATTGCTGATTATGGTCATTTTGACCCAGCTGAAGGCTGGCGGCCGGTGTCAGAATTGAAGGAGGAAACCATCCAGAGGTCTGAAGCTTGAGCTGCCTAGTAGCTGAGCTGCTGCAAAGGCCCAAGAACTGCTGCCTGGTCTGATTAGCTTAGACAGTCAGCTTGAGTACCTGTAGAGCAGCTGAACTGACTAGCTCCCCCGGTTCCACTGTCTCCGACAAGGGTGACTGCAACAGCCAAAACTGGCAGCAAGTCCAAATCAGAGTGGACATAAAATGCCTAAGTTCACTTGACATCAGTGCCAAAGCCTGCGTTGAAGCATCACTAAGGCTCACTAAATTAGCTTTATCAGCACCTTTCAGTTCTTTCAACCTTGGAGTATCCATCTCCGGGTCGGCATCCTGCTCCTGCATACACCTGCACATCTTTTTATGGGTGAACCAGTGGAGCTTTTGGCACATCAGGCTGCAGTAAGTCACCTTAAAGACAAAACAAAAAGAAACACGACCTGAAGGTATAGTTTTGATGACATGATTGAATTATATTACAGGAGGTGGCTTTTAACAGACTTTGACTTACTGCTTTACAAAGGGAGCATCTCTTTTCTGCTCCCTTCTCCCCACATGTAGCACAGTAATCAGCATCTACAAACGTCATCTGACCTGTTATAGCCTGGTTCAACACTGAGAACGCTGTTGGGTCGTTGCCCTAGAATTGGATGTAATGGTATATTAAAGTTATATCAACAACAGGGATTAAAAACAAAATGATTACTCAGTTACATATAAAGCTGCTATCAACAACTTCTTTTAACCACTGTTGCAACAATACCCTTCCTCATTTATCCTTTAAAAACAAAGGCCTTTTGCTACAAATTATATTAAATGTATTGCAATTCCAATCTCTTTCGGTGTAATGATCCTCACCTGCTGCTGTAGGAGTGTTGCCTCACAATAAGGAAACTTCTTGATACAATCCCGAATGAACTTCTCCTGGTACTGTGGGAAGCCATCACTGTCTCTCCCCCTCAGCAGGCTGGGAGCCAGCAGGATAAAAGCAGGTCAAGAACGACAGAAACATGAGATATAGCTGTGATTCCAATTTGACCCTCCATGAGTTTTCCTGACCATTCAAACAGTATATTGTACCTAGTGGTTGGATTCCTAAAATATTTTTTGTAGATATTTTGGGTCCCAAAAGGTGAACCTTCCTGATTGTGGTGGCTTCTTGACCTATGCTTTATTAAGCTTCCCAAATTTCTCAAGATCTCACAATCTAATGTGCAGATTAATATGAAATTTACGGAGCAACACCGTCGGCAGGTGCAGCATCAGCTGTAGCTGTGACACACAGTTCATGGAGGATATCACAGGGCTCTAAAACCCTTTGCTTCTGATTGCTGCAATTTGTGTCAAAAAATCTGATTCCTTCTGAATTATAACTCAGTCAAATATGACCACCCAGACGGGAACTGAATTTGTTTCAGAATCTGTTGTTCCAGAGGTTTGAATTTGCACCTTATATATACACACATACATGTGTATATACACACACACATACATGTGTATATACACACACACATACATGTATATATACACACACACATACATGTATATATACACACACACATACATGTATATATATATACACACATAAATGTATATATATATAAACACACATACATGTATATATATACACACACACACATGTATATATACACACACACATACATGTATATATACACACACACATACATGTATATATACACACACACATACATGTATATATATATACATACACACATACATATGTATGTATATATATATATATATATATATATACACATATATATGTATGTGTATGTATATATATATATATATATATATATATATATATATACACACATATACATATATATATACATACACACATATACATATATATATACATACACACATATACATATATATATACATACATACATACATATACATATATACGTATACATACATACATACATACATATACATATATACGTA